CAACAAAAATTATACGACTTTGAAAACACAAGTTTTTTTGATGTTTTATCTACTATTACATGTTAAAAGAGAATAAAATTAATTTATTTATACTTTTAGTAACAAATATTTCTAAACAAATAAACTAAATAAATATTAGTTTTGATTCTTGTAATTAATTACTTCAATTTGTGAAGATGCAATAATGATATGGTATATACTTCTTTGAAACTAAAAAAAAAGTGTCAATTTTACTTATTATGTTAAAGAATTATCAAATTATATAATTATTAAATCAATAAATGATACTAATAAAAATATATTTTACTATAGACACATTCTAATAGTGCTCGTAATATATATATTTTTTTAATTTTGTTGTAATGTCGTATTGGTATCTCGTTTTCGTATCTTTTTATAATTATCGCATTATGGGCATCGACAAAGACTCAAAACTCAAATTTTCCTCCTCTCTCGTGATCATGTACTGTCACCCACTTGCATGGATGCTCTCTCTCTCTCTCTATCTGTGAGTCAATGCCGTGTTGTGAAAAACTAGATCAGAGAAATTATTATAGAAAGACTGGGTGGTTGGTAAATCCATATTTAGGGTTGTACGTTTGCATGAACTGTTGAACAATGTGGAAAATTAGGGATCCCATCTTTAATTCTCTTTTTCCTATCATTTTCAATACTTACAAGTATGGGGTCAGGTTAGGCACTTGCATTGTCATAATTCAATGCTTTTGAGATGGATATGTACATGACACAAGGGTTAAGAGTTTAGTAGGCAACCAGAACACACCATGGGTTGTTTGCATGATTTTTCTGAGAGGGAGTGGATTGTATTTATGAAACTCTTTCAATTTTAATTCTTAGATTTTGTATATGAAATTGAATACCCAATTTTATATTTGAAAGTGATATAAATATATATATGAAACTTACTGATTAATCACAAATATTTGTCATAAAATTGTAAAATTGATTAAACCAGCCTAACCCCTCCACCCCCCAACAATAGGTTTGTTGAAACCTATATGCATCAATTTTAATCTACTATTTATTACGGGTATAGATTCATATATTTTACAAATTTTGAGTCTCAAATCTTCAACCAAATATAAGATAATATAGTAAGTTGGACTATTTTTGCAAAATTTTTCCTTTAAATTCAACCCACACTCACATTCCAAACAGGTCACAGAAGGGGTAACTATGTTTTAATTTCACATTACACCAATAAGTATCGTGCATTGCAAATTTGATTTAAAAGTTATCTCATTTTATCCCCAGTCTATGTGATTTTGTCTCACTTTGCCCCAATATTTTATATTCAAAAGATAGTTAGCTTTTGCATTGGGCAATATGATATCAATTTAAACAGTTGAGGGGGCAACATAAAAAAATTTGTAGTTAAAGGAGTAAATTGCAATTGATTTCTTAGTTACATGAGTCAAAGTGTAATTTATTCTATTGAAAAACTTATTTTTTAAGCTCTAATTTCTAAATTAAGAAAATATAAAAATGGTTGTTGCATACTATTTTCACTTCAAATTAGACTAAAGATCTATTATATTACTATTTTTTTTCTTTGGTCCAATGATACTCCTTGTCTGGTAAAGGTTTTGCCTTGTTGATTAGTTTACACGCAACTTGATTAATCATTTTTTTAATCAAGTCAAAAGTTAATCATCCACGCGGAGACTAGAGTGTTCATAAGTGATAAATTTCTCATTATCTGATCTTATGAAATTATCAAAATTTAAATTCAAAACATCTAAATTTACAAATTATTTCTACTATCACTTGCGGGGTATTATTTTATCAAAATTTGAAGAATATCTATAAAAATTGCTAGAATCAACTATGAATGGAGTAGTCAATAATGATAGCCCATGTAGTTGTGCCGGTTAAGTGAACGTGATGGCCCCTTAGACCATGTGACCACCGTCCTACCCTATTATCTCAATTTCCGGGCTCATTCATTTCTTCAATATAAATCATGCTAGATAGTTGCTAACTGGTGGCCAAGCATTCAAGGGAAAAAAAATATGTTTTAGATTGGTTTAGATATGGGACCATTTTGAGCCAATTTTTTGGATGTGGCACCGAGATTTGAAAAGTGAAATAAAACAGTTAGAGTTAAACAAATTCTTAAAATCGTTTGAAATATTTTCGAAAATTATTTTTTTTCTTTGAAGCCCTTGGATAAGTTCCAATTTTTAACTTTTTGTTGGCGCTAATAAAAACTATTTTTGCCCAAAAGGTTGACGAAAATACTGCCCAATAGAACTTGGTCCCAACGGACCAAGCTTCTTTTCCTCTGAAACAAAAAAATTAAAAATTAAAAATTTGAGGTTTTTAAGTCAACTCTAAACAAGTCCCTTATCTTTTTTATCGGTATCGAAAAAAAATTTAGTATCGTACTAAGAAATTATTTTTTACTATTTATGTATTTTTAAGTTGTTTGTAATCGTTGATTGTGAAAAAAAATATAATTAAAACAATAGGACAACGAGGATCTACAAAAGTCACGAATTTATTGAACAAAAAGAGAAAAATAGAGTATTAAAGATGTTATTTTAAAATATCATAGTAATACACCTACTATATATTTAAGTTAGAGAGATTTTTTTGGTGCCTTGGTGCATCACTCAATCATCTACCTACTCATTTGATTTTGTCTTCAAGACTTTTCCACAGCCATCTCTATTTCCCATCTGCAGTGGAAAAATCACTGATTAAAATTTTCAATTCCTCTTATTTAATTTATATTCTTATTACGATTTTTTTTTTAATTTTATATATTAATTTTGCACATGCATTGAGAGTGCCACAGATTGTAGTAATAGTACATGGTGCATTAATTATCTCAATTATGTAGCATATATATTTAAAATTATCTCAATTGCACATGCATTGTTTAAGTCTTGTTCCAATTTGCAAAAAAAAAAAAAAATTCAACTTGCAAACTCATTTAAATAATTTGAGAAAATCAATTTTAAATCGAGGAAAAATGATGAAAAAAAAATTAGAAATAGTAGATGTAATATGAAATAGAATATTTAAAATAAAACACAATTTAAAATCAAGTGTGCTATATAAAATATTTTTTCTATATGGGAGATAAATAGTATTTTTTTTACAAAATATATATATATAGGTGATTAAATTCTATTAGCCCTTAAATTATTGTCATTGACTTTTAACCCGTGTTGTGAAAATAGCAAATGTTGTCGCACTAATAAAATTGTTCTATTTTTTATTTGTGCGTCAACAATTTGAGTCGTAAAAACAACTTCTCTGCATACACGAATAAAGTTACGTCCATTTATTCTTTTCCAGGCTATGCAATTGCAAGAATTTATATACTGGTCTACTTTTTAAGTGCAAGAGTAGAAAATTACACAAAACTTAGAACAAAAATTTTGAAGCTCTATTCAATGCAAAACCCAATTTTTTTTTTTTTTTTAAAAAAAAACCCATTCTGAATTACAAACTTTATGTCAATACTAACATCAAGGAAGGGCCATACACAAATGGCCAAGAGTCATTTTCACAAAGGTAGGGGACTATAAAAAGAAGCCAGAAATAATTGTTTTTTGCTCAAAATATATACCTGCAAAAAAAAAAAAAAGGCTGCAAAATAATTGATTACCTCCCACATGCAATTCTCATTATTTTGAGCTCGCATGTACTTCAAGAATATATTTTTGGAAACCAAACAGATCAGAAAAAAACAAAAATATACTACAAAGTTTTTCTTAGTGGAGGAATGGTGACCCTTAAAAAAAAAAAAAAGAGGAATGACCTAATAACGTGATAGTTGACATAGTTTACTAACATCGTTAAAATTATAATTATTAGACATTTTTAGCACTGACGTATCATTAGCTCGGGGTATTAGGTACGAACCATCACCGCTTTTGGATCGAACATGTCATTATAGTTGGGTCATCCGAATAAAAATTATGGTCTTTTATGACGAAAATCTCTCTATAAGTAGGATACATTAAAACTAGAATAAAACTCGAATATTTATAATTACTTACAAATTATATAAGTATTATTGGATAAAATGACAAAGAAATAGAACCACTCTATGGTAGTTCCCAGATCTCTCTCTCTCTCTCTCTCTCTTCTCCTCCATTTCTCTCTATTACACACACACAGGGGCATAAAATGACAAACAGAGAACAACCCCCAGTTGAGCTCCGCCGTAGTGGAATCTGTGATTATTTGAATTTGTGTGTGTGTGTGGTTTTTTTTTTTTGTTGTAGAAAATGCAAGGGATCCCCATGCACGTGGCAGTCTTCAAAGCCGTTCGATTACTAAAGAACAGATCTAGACATCAGCTGAACAGGAGTAACTAATAATCATCACCACTCACTGTAACTACATCACTCTGCCTCCCAAACATCCCAATTCTAACAAAAATTAAATGTTTCAATTTAAACCTAAATCAATTGGACGATGAGAATTATATATTCTCCTATTTGATGGAGTCATTCAAGACACATTCAACTCAACCTTGAGTCATCTGAGTTTAGACGAAACGAGATTTTGTTAAACTTCTTATTCTATCTTGCATCTCGTCTGTATCGTTTGATACAATTTTGTTTTATCGTGACCAATGCTGCAATGTTCGACAATATCATAACCCATTCTCTCACAATGTAGAAGTGTTTCTTTTTGTTGAAATTTTCCAACTTGAATCCAACAATGTCTATGTGATCTCACTATGACTGAGAAGTTGCATGGTGGCAACATAAACAAATTTGAAATGGTAGAGGACTGGAAATATAAAAAATAAACCAACGTATCATAACATTAGACTAGTAGACCTTGTTATAATATATATTAGTAGCAGGTGACTTGCTCTTAGCTTACTGAAGATTGGATATCAAAGTGACCCAAACAAGGCCTTAAAAAAATAGATTAATCCAGCTGTTGGTGGCCATTACACACTATACCCTTAATAATCAAATGAACTGATTGAATTGGTCCCTAATTGACAGCTCTATCCGAACGACTGTTTCTCATTGAATTTTCACTATAAGTACTTGCCCCATTGAATACCCAAGTCATTACCCCTTCTCTCTCCCTCTCCTAAACAACTCTCTCAGTTCTCATCTAAGTTAGAAAGAGGTGTGAGGAAGTCTGACGGATTGGCCGGAGTTGGTGGTTTTTCCAAAGGAGAAATGAGAGTTCACGGCTGCGACCCCGCAAGGGGTCGGCTTTGGCCTCAGCTACTAGTGGCATTCGCCATATTGGTTGTTTCAAACATCATGGCAGTCTCGGCTGACCCATATGTTTATTCCTCTCCTCCACCACCATATGAGTACAAATCACCGCCGCCACCCTCTCCATCTCCACCACCAACATATGAGTACAAGTCCCCGCCGCCACCCTCTCCATCTCCACCACCACCATATGAGTACAAGTCACCACCGCCACCATCTCCATCTCCACCGCCACCGTACGAGTACAAATCTCCGCCACCACCATCACCATCTCCACCACCACCATATGTTTACAAGTCACCACCTCCACCCTCTCCATCCCCACCACCACCTTATGAGTATAAGTCACCACCACCACCCTCTCCATCCCCACCACCACCTTATGAGTACAAGTCCCCACCACCACCCTCTCCATCCCCACCACTACCTTATGAGTACAAGTCACCACCGCCACCCTCTCCATCTCCACCACCACCTTATGAGTACAAATCACCACCGCCACCCTCTCCATCCCCACCACCACCGTATGAGTACAAGTCCCCCCCGCCACCCTCTCCATCCCCACCACCACCGTATGAGTACAAGTCCCCCCCGCCACCCTCTCCATCCCCACCACCACCGTATGAGTACAAGTCGCCACCACCTCCATCACTTTCTCCACCACCACCATACTATTACACTTCTCCGCCACCACCGGTCAAGTCGCCACCTCCTCCATACTACTACACTTCTCCGCCGCCACCGGTCAAGTCACCACCTACACCATACTACTACACTTCTCCGCCACCACCGGTCAAGTCCCCACCTCCTCCATACTACTACACTTCTCCGCCACCACCACCATATCACTACACTTCTCCACCACCACCGGTCAAGTCACCACCTCCTCCATACTACTACACTTCTCCGCCACCACCCGTCAAGTCCCCACCTCCTCCATACTACTACACTTCTCCGCCACCACCAGTAAAGTCTCCACCTCCTCCATACTACTACAGTTCTCCACCGCCACCGGTCAAGTCACCACCTCCTCCATACTACTACACTTCTCCGCCACCACCACCATATCACTACACTTCTCCACCACCACCGGTCAAGTCACCACCTCCTCCATACTACTACACTTCTCCGCCACCACCCGTCAAGTCCCCACCTCCTCCATACTACTACACTTCTCCGCCACCACCAGTAAAGTCTCCACCTCCTCCATACTACTACACTTCTCCACCGCCACCGGTGAAGTCACCACCTCCTCCATACTACTACACTTCTCCGCCACCACCGGTGAAGTCACCCCCTCCTCCATACTACTACACTTCTCCACCGCCACCGGTGCCCCACTACCCTCCGCCACACCCCCACTCCCTGATTGTCAAGGTTGTCGGAAAGGTTTACTGCTACAGATGCTATGACTGGACATACCCAGTGAAGTCCCATGACAAGAAACACCTCAAAGGTAAAATTTTCATCTCTCATTTCTTAATAAATTTCATCAAACAGTATTCTTATTGGTGAAAAAATGATCTCCTTCGTTTCAATCTTGGAATTTTCGGTCACTGTTATTAGCACCCCCAAGGCCAATAGCATTTCTTTAATTTAAAAATAATTAATTTTTTAAAAAGACAGTGAGACATGAGTCATTTTTCACAATTTTCAATAGTAGAGTTGTTATTAGGCACTGATTGATTCATGACTTGTCTTGGATACCAGCACATATTAGATGGCTAGTAGGACATAAAGAATTGTCGACACAAAAACCGATAACGTTAGTTGGACATAATTTGTTAAGTTTCTTTTTTTCTTTTTTTTTTTGCTTTTTTAAAAAAGTTAGCAGTTGCCCATGTGTGAGAACAGTTTATATTGTAACCTAGCAAGAAAAAATTAGTTATTGTAGTACGCAGGTGAGAGACTAGAAGGTAGACATGTGATTTGTTGGCTAGTAGTCATATAATTAATATATGTTGATTGATATTATTGTTTTGGCACACATGGTGCAGGTGCTGTTGTGGAGGTGACATGCCAGGCAGGAGAGAAGAAAATTGTGGCATATGGAAAGACTAAAATCAATGGCAAATACAGCATCACAGTTGAGGGCTTTGACTATGGCAAATATGGAGCCAAGGCTTGCAAGGCCAAACTCCACGTGGCACCAAAGGGGTCTAAGTGTAATTTGCCCACAAACTTGCACTGGGGCATGAAGGGTGCTAAGCTCAAAGTCAAGTCCAAGACTGATTATGAAGTTGTTCTCTATGCCAAGTCATTTGCTTATGCTCCAAAGACTCCTTACAAGGAGTGTGAGAAGCCCAAGCCAACCCCAGCTCCTTACTACTACACTTCACCACCACCACCACCACCCACTTATATCTACAAGTCACCACCTCCTCCACCACCAACTTACTTGTACAAGTCCCCACCACCTCCACCACCGACCTACCTTTACAAGTCCCCACCACCTCCACCATACGTTTATAAGTCTCCACCACCTCCACCATACATTTACAAGTCCCCACCACCTCCACCACCGACCTACCTTTACAAGTCCCCACCACCTCCACCATACGTTTATAAGTCTCCACCACCTCCACCATACATTTACAAGTCCCCACCACCTCCACCACCGACCTACCTTTACAAGTCCCCACCACCTCCACCATACGTTTATAAGTCTCCACCACCTCCACCATACATTTACAAGTCCCCACCACCTCCACCATACGTTTATAAGTCTCCACCACCTCCACCATACATTTACAAGTCCCCACCACCTCCACCGTACGTTTACAAGTCCCCACCTCCTCCCCCACCAACTTACATTTACAAGTCCCCGCCTCCACCGCCATACTATTACAAGTCACCACCACCACCAACCGAGTCTCCTCCACCCCCATATTACTACAAGTCACCACCACCACCTTCTCCATCTCCTCCACTTCCTTATTACTACAAGTCCCCGCCACCACCCTCACCATCACCACCCCCTCCATATTATTACAAGTCCCCACCGCCACCTTCTCCATCTCCTCCACCACCTTACTACTACAAGTCTCCACCTCCACCATCTCCATCCCCGCCTACTCCCTACTACTACAAGTCACCTCCTCCTCCATCACCTTCCCCTCTTCCACCATACTACTACAAGTCTCCCCCACCACCATCTCCATCTCCTCCACCACCATACTACTACAAGTCACCACCACCTCCCTCACCATCTCCTCCTCCACCCTACTACTACAAGTCTCCTCCACCACCCTCACCGTCTCCTCCTCCACCATACTACTACAAATCTCCTCCTCCACCCTCACCATCTCTTCCATCACCATACTACTACAAATCTCCCCCACCACCATCACCATCCCCACCCCCGCCCTACTATTACAAGTCCCCACCCCCACCCTCACCATCCCCACCACCTCCCTACTATTACAAGTCCCCACCACCACCATCACCATCCCCACCACTACCCTACTACTACAAGTCCCCACCCCCACCTTCACCATCCCCACCACCTCCCTACTACTACAAGTCCCCACCACCACCATCACCATCCCCACCACCGCCCTACTATTACAAGTCCCCACCACCACCATCGCCATCTCCTCCACCTCCTTATTACTACAAGTCCCCACCACCCCCATCACCATCACCTCCACCACCCTACTACTACAAATCTCCCCCACCACCATCGTCATCCCCACCACCACCCTACTACTACAAGTCCCCACCCCCACCATCCCCATCTCCTCCACCACCCGTCTACATCTATGCTTCTCCACCACCACCGACTCATTACTGAGCTCCAATAGCTCCACCATTCACCACCGGCAATCATGTAAGTAATGGGTTTACACACTTTACATTATCTATCAAATGATCAACTACGTGAAGAAATTTGGATTCAATAGAAATCTCATTTGTTATTTGTTTTCATTTTGCAGCTTTTAGTTTCAATCACACAATAAAGGAAGTCTCCAATAGGCAAGATTCGGACATCAATCCTCCAAACCAATTAGTCCTATTAATAAGGTCCTCGACATTGCATTTAAAAGCTTTAACCTTTATCATTTGGACCAGTTTGCTTCTACTTCTCTGGCGGCCATCTTACACATTATGCTTTTACCACCATCGAGGGAAGGTGGCTTCAGATTCTATTTATTTTCGCAAAGCCAAATTAGTTGCTGATATGGGATTTGTTTTTAGGGTTTTGGAAATTGGTGTTACAGAGTCTGTTTCTTGTTTATTCATATGGTTGTTTCATTATTAAGTTATTGATGTATAGTGGCAGAACATGAAGTTGTTTGATAGTCATCTTTAATTTATTATTGTCGCTTGCATTTCTTGTTCTTTGTGCACTCAAATTTTCAATAATAAAGGATGACATTTGCTATCTCTCAATCTTTCTTGTGTTGCTCTCCACCATGTATCTGACAAACAACTTTCTCTCTCAACATTATCAACTACCTCTCATTTTCCTCTTACATAATGTTCCAGGCAACTTTAAACACAAAGTAGCTATATTGCCCCCAACGGGCCCAACCCCTTCTCTCCCTCTCTCTCTCTCTCAAACTTTTCTTTTTTGTATTGCTGTCCACCATGCATCTGACGAACAAGCAACTTTCTCTCTTAACATTATCAACAACCTCTCATTTGCTTCTTAGTGAATGTTGCAGGCAACTTTACACACACAAAGTAGCTAGATCTCTCTCTCTCTCTCTCCTGTTTTCCAAACTGAACGAATTATTGACTTAGTGTGATAATATGTGCCTTTTGGGTTTTTTCCCAATCCTTTGTGTCTTCTCTGTGGAGGGAGACAAACACAGAACTGTAGTGATTCTCTGAAATTTGGTTCACTCATAACCAACTACCCATCATGCACACACAAACATGGTCTGGCCGATTTAAGTCCATACCGGGCAACAGAACTCTGAATAACTCCCAAATTAAAAGAAAAAATATTAAGAACTACCATTATTACAGCAAGTTTGGAAGAAAAAAAAATCATCAAATTTGACCATTCTTATTTTCTTTGGCTCAAAATTTATTACTTGTACAACTATCATAACATAATGGTAAAGGTTTTAGAATTTGAAGTTATATCAAAAAAACACGAGCTCATAAATATATTATTCAAATTCCTCCAATAAATACCTTGACTCAGCTAATAGTATGGATTTCACTCTTTGAATCAAGATTAAAATGTTACTTATGAGCTCATGTTTTTCAAATCATCCATTTTTTCAAATATACAAGTCATCCATTTTTTCAAATATACTCGTTAATTAGTCGTATTCAATACACAAGATACATGTGTACAAAAATGTGGATCTAAATAATTTCTAATACTGTTTCTTCTTAATTAATTTCTTTCTTGGTTGGTCATTTATCATTAATGAGTAAGATTAATGAGTAAGAGATTCACTTGTATACAATAAGTCTTTAAATGCATGGTAGATGACCTGCAGATCGCAGTTATCCTTAAACTTCCGTACTTGGTGGAGAAGAAGCATGAACAATGGTACGCTTGCTTGTTGTCTTGTTCTTTGTTGCGAACTGGGATCACTCACTAGCTAGGTCAAATTGGGGATAAGGGGCAGAATGACCTCTTGATCTACTTATTGCAGCCCAAGAAGAAAATTTTGGTCTCAGCCAAAAATAAAATTGAAAAAAAAAATGCGTCGAAGAAAATTTCCCTCCCAAAAATATCTATTTTTGCGAATGCCACAAGAAGTTCTCTCCCACATGATTTGTGCATAATTTTTTTTTTTTCTTGGTGAAGTTAGGTAGCTACCTACTCAGAAGAATCATATATTTGATAATAGTCTGCCTGGCATACTAAACAAAGACCTTCTTGCCTTGATCAAGTCATTAAACAATGACAACTCACTCTTTTGAAAAAGCAGCAACTTCAAAGTCTTTATAACTTGCTACATTGTCGTTTCAAATTATTACAAGACAAAGAAAGTTGCTTAGGATTCTCTGTTGATTGGATTAAAAATGGAATAGTAAATGCATTGGAGTTGTTAGAATCTCTTTTGTTTAGGCCTCCATGACCATGAACTATGAAAGCAGGTGAACTACGGATGGAATGTCTCTATCTCATCACGTAAATATTCCTTACAACGGTAACATCGACACGTAATATCGTTATTTTTTGTTAATAAGCAAACACATAGGTTAATAAACCAGACATATGGAAATATGTTAAAGATAATATTGATCAAAGAAATAAAACAAATGATGTTAGGTACTTTTGATCACGCTTTTATTCATTTGAATGCTAGCGTTACACTCTTTTGTCTATTTTTTTCAGTCTTTTTTTTATTAATATAACATTACTCATACGTTAATTATAAGATTATGGCAAATGTGATCGTTATAGTATTACATGAGATTTTTTATGTTCAAGTGTTGGTTGTTGGTTTATTATTAAATTAAATTGTCACGTGTTAATGATAACGTGATATAATCGGATTTAATTTCTACTTCATTATCCAACATTAAAGTAGGCATGCCACCCATCAAAGCTATTTGGGCCCACACAGAAAGTGTTCATTCCTGACCTTGTTTTGTTTCGTTAGAGGCACTGAATGTAGCACAGGCTGGCTGATTCCTATCAATCGCAGTATTTGGCCCCAGTGGGTTCGAATGTTTCGATTTTCCAACAGCTTTAAGGCCTTTATGTTCATGATAGTTGCTTGTAGCTTTGAATATAGACACACATTATTATGACTTTTCTACCTCTTTTCCCCTTTTTTATTTTACAAATCAGTTCTGGAATAATATTTTGCAGTGGCTGCAAGTCAAATTTGTCGAATGCACCTTTTTTATGTGTTGTTTAGGGATGTACGAACCACTTCAATTATTATTAGCGTAAGTCTAAAGAGACTGTCTCAATTACGTAATCGAATTTAAAATTTCAAGATGACAACCTTTGGTGACTTTTATTCAAGCTGTCATGACAAGTTATTTTACTTTCTTTATGTGTTTTACATATTTCTAGATGGTTCGGAGATCATATTAGCTATCACGAAGAGATCTATAATATAAAACAAATGAGATTTCAATAAGTTTATCCAACGGTCTTAAATAGACTCATCTAACGACCACCAACATCCCTATCAAAATAATTCACCTTGAATTCTCGGTCACATCTATTATTTCTCACTTACGTCATACTGTGTTTATACGTACGAGTTATCCCTAATAAATTAAAAAGAGCTGAAAGTTGCCACTAACTGAACCGGGTTGAGTAGCATAGGCTCTTCGCGTGATCTGCTCATATTTGAACCTTTTTCTTTATAATAATGATAGAATAAATTTTAGATACTACATGATGTTAAAGTAACCAAATACATAATTTTACTTGGTTTGAATATTTTGATATGTATTTAAAACACTAGTGGGCAAAACCTTAAATAGGTGAAAAATATGAAGGATTATCTTATCGCGAATGATAAATTATCATAATGAGTGTGTGGAGCATGAAATTTTGCATGTCAGACATATCTTCCCTAAGCAAATGTGACATCTGGGTATGAAATTAATGCTGATCAAAGTTGAAAAACTCTATTTGGTTAAATTGGTGGCAAGAACGTTAAAAATGTGACAAATGAAGAAACATCATAATTAGTGTGTGGAGTATAAATTGCACATTCAAACCATTATCACTTCTGCGAATGCAAGATTCAAGTACACAGTTAAGGTAAGTCAATGATAGAAAGTTCTATTTTAGTTAAATTATTGATCGAATTGCATTACAACTCAAGAACAACAATTGTTCTGAGTGTGGTTAGTGTTCATAGTAATGCAGGTGCTCTCAAAACAAAAATAATTAGAAGTTCAGTCATCAAAGAAACCAATACCATCGTTTGTGTATGAACATAGATAAATACGAAAATGCAAAGCAATTGAGAAAGCTTGACATGTCATTGCCTCCAATAACAATTGCATGAAACAAAAATTGATTTTGAAGGAATACACCAAGATCTATATACAGATCGAACTCCACTTGGGGCGGGGCCTTACCAGGCTAGAGTATCTCCATCCCTCTCCACTCATTTGAGAATTGTAAACTCCACATTATCTCAAAATAGCACTTAAACACCAAATACCCAACATCCTTATTCCATTATGTACCATGCCTAGTAGTCAGAGCAAGGAAGTGTCTCAATGGTCCTACATTTCAGACCTAAAAATTCAGATCTCAATTGTCGAATCATACACCATGGCTGTTTATTTGAGCATAAAAGTGTTGCAAAGGTTTTTAATTTCACATCTAAATTGTGGCAAATTATCATAACTTTTACGTGCCCAATACTCTTCAGATGCAACTTGGGAATGATAATAGAGTCCTCCATAGTGGAATAAGAAATGTAAATGATTTGTTGGAATTCAATGTCACTTTGCAGTCCAAAGACTAAACTCTGAATAAGGTTTATCTCTTACCCTGCGGATCACAAGTAGAATTATGACTAGGTACATCAGTAAAGCAATTTTAGTAGCAGACGCATAGTTCTAGTTTTCAAGAAATTAGAATTTGATCAAAGTCGGCATGTCACTTACTCAACAATGCTTTACTCCCTAATCAGTCCTATCTAGGGCCATGTCTAACCAAGAAAAACTGATGATTCCATGGGGACCTAGAAATACCCAAGGTCATACAAAGAACAATATAATTGCAATACCTCAATCCATGTTGCCAGTTTTGGCCAGCCTACAGTAAAGTCATAGTTCTTCACATCCAGCAAGAAGGGCTGAAATCTTTCAATGAATGGCGCATAAGCTATATCTTCCTGAAGGACAAAGTTAAAAGCTCTATTTAGCTAAACTAGTGGTCAACATTGCTCTTGCCCTAGCATTTTATGTCTTCTCATGTTGAAACTATTTTGATTAATCTTAATTAGCAGATTGGACCTGGATTAATAAAGACTAAATTGATATTATTAGAATTTATATGAAAATTAAAAATAATGTTAATATAAAAATTAACAAAATATGAACAAGCGAAAAAATTAATTTTTTCATAATACATTTCAACTTAATCATATATTCAAGTATAAATTCAAAAAAATATATATTAAAGTAGAACATGACAGCGGTGTTACAAATCTTGTGAATATTTAATAATTGGTCATTTTCATGACATAAATTTCTCAGCAATTTTCTTTTAATGTTGTTGAGAAATTGATTGTTGGAAGGGTATAAACGTATTCTGGTTAGTATATTATACTATTTACATCTATCTTGTGCTATTGGGTTGTGAGCCACTAATTTATAAAGAAAAAAAGAAGAAAAATCATCAAAAACTATAAAATTATTTTTTGAAAAATAATAGGAAATATATTAAATAACATAGGTGTTATTTTTGGTAGACATTTCACACTTGTTTTATTACTCAATTTAAAAATAAAAATTTTATTTAGTAAATTAAAGGGCGAATGGACAATTAATTTTGCTGAAAAGAAAATAGACTAAGGTCAATATACAAATTTTTAAAAACTTAAGAGGTGGCAATGTAATAAACTAATAATTTCAACTCAAATTCAACAC